CAGGTTGTGTGAGGAATTTGATGTTAGCACGTTGTTCTGCATTAGCACTCAGCATTATTCCGACGGAGCTCAGAAACACGATCCGCTTCTAACAATGGTCGCGGCCAGACTAACCGATGCACGTGAATGAAACTTTGTGTGAGGGTAGAGGGAAGTCCAAGGGTCAATGCCCTACCCTCCTCTTCGTCAATGACGTGGCCGGAAATGAGTCATAAAAGTAATCCGGGTTCTTTATTGCCACTTTATTGTACAACTGAATTTATTAATACACGTAATTTGAACTTTACTTATACTACTTTACGGAAGGGCCGTAGTTGTAAATTTTGTGTCCGACTTTGCCGAAAGTTGTATCAAGACTCCTCCAGGCGGAATGCACTCTCTCTGAATCCTGAGGTCCACGAACCCCAGACTCCAAGAGAAATCCACTCCTCCACTTCTACCATTGGTTAAGTTTTCAAACTAGGAGGTTCCCTAAATTTTGAATTCCCAATCATGTTGCTCTTCTATGTGATTCTGGCAGATGCTGACCTGACGCTAAGGTTGACAGCCCCTTGATGCATTTCGATCAGAGTATGAGGCTCCGGCCGTCCCACTTCTAAGTTATAGCTGTCCCAAGCTGTCAGCTCTCAAATTCCCAAAGTCTTTCCGACTTTGCTGAAACTGCCAGAATTCCAGGAAATTACCAGATGTTACTTCCTGTCCACATAACAAAACTTGAACTATGTCCCTTCCACGTGTAAGAGCTGGCTATCTGCCGGATCTCTTTGTTTGTAATTTTGTAATCTTAACTTAATACATATTTAATTAATGCACAACAGTCCTCCAATGAAAATGAACGGTTACAATATATTTCTTTGGATGTTACATAAAACTCCATATTTGATGATATTCTTATTTACTTGAATTTAAACTGGAAGATGTCTACTTTTGGGTAAATACCTTACTAATAGTTTCCTTCATCCTTCCAAAAGACTATTTTCTGCAAAGACGGGGAGATCCAGGAGGAATAAACTACAACCCACGGGTAATTCCGCTCATTAATGCGACCTGCGCGTTGGGGATTTTCCTATAAGAATTCAAATGCCTTTCTTTTTCATTGCAGTTAAAGTTCCCCTCCCTCTCACGAAACACACGCGTCTACTCCTCATAACCGCTGTTCTTGTCGTGAATATTTTGAAAGTTGTTTTGGTTTTGTATGACCATTTCAATGAGTTAAGTTCAAGTTTGTGTAGTCGATATCGTCGTGTTCCCGGCTGCATCCTCTCTGGCGTCAAAATTACATTTCCGGGTATAAATAGACGATTCGTTCACAACCGACGGTAAAATTGTAATATGACTGGCTTGCAACAGAAGTGTAAGGTGTCCGGATGAAAAGTATAAAAAAATATATCTCGGAAACTAATTGTTATACATGTATCCGGTTTATGTCATCGGAAAGCAAAACTCTGAAATTCTCTTCCATACCCGGCTTACGCGCATGCGCAACGACATTTTTGCCACCATGTTAGGCATCGCCTGGACAAAGAGATGGCTGGGGTATGAATTGGCAGAAGTGGACCAATCGCTTGGTCTCCTAGGTCGCCAGATTTAACCCCAGTTGATTTTTCTTGTGGGGTTATGTGAAGAACATTGTCTAACAGGTTAAGATCAACGACCTGAAACACCTTAAAACCCACATAAGGGACGCTGTGGCTACGGTAACACCAGACATGCTTCAAGCCTGGATATTTGTCGTGCCACCAAGGGAGCCCACATTTAAATTTATTGAGAAAGTTATATATGTAGAAAAAAACTTTGTAGTTTCTCTTCTTAATGCTATATCCCACTGATGTGTAGAATAAATTATTTATGAGATATAATGATTTTATTTTGGATACTTTTCTTCCGGACACTCTGTATTGGCGGCTCCATGAAATCACAGTTGGAGCAACATACACGAAGC